ATTGGGAGACAGGTGCACAATGGGACATTACCATCATCATCATTCCCAGAATGGTGCAACCTGCAGGACTTGGCTGGCTCTACAGAGCTCACACTGCTCAGTGGATTTGGGTAAAATCATGAGTGAAAGCAAGTCGGAAATAAATTGAGATGAGAACCAGCTTACCTTCGGGTGTTCTTTCCATGCTCCCGGAAGCCTTTAGCAAATGGATTGTTGTCAATCTTGAGTTTTGTGATCTTAAAATAAGGAACATGATTCAGTGTTACAGGGAGTGGTTGGGTTCTTTACCACTTCAAGACCTTTACCTCAGTATTTATCACAACGGTTTGACTGGCAGTTTGGAAGTGCCCTTGTCACTGTATCTGAGCTCTTACAACACTTCTGTCTATTGATTAGGAACAGATACAGAGAGGAGAGACTTTCCCAGGGACTTCCCCAGGGTAGGATTCATCTGTTTAGAGAAATAACCAAGGTCAGTACCCACATCTGGACTTTTTATTGTATCTGGGGTCCTTTTAGCCACTGCAGTGCACTCAGTAAGTAAATGGGCACGACTTATCTCAACTCAGAGTGGATGTCATCTCAACGGGCTTTCGTAAGTAAGTTCCCCTGACACAGGTGCCCACACTGAATAGCTCAGGAGACACCTTCCCTTACAGGATTTCTCAGGAAATCCAAGGGTGGTGCTTGCACGCCGTACCTTCTCGTTCTGGTAAGCAGTGACAGATGTGAAGACAGTCTCTGGGAAGCTGAAGACTTGGAAGATGCTCCAGCGGACACTGAAGAGGTCATCTGCCTGCACGATGTGGAAGCGAGGCTTATAACGGTGCATGGAGTGCAGGATGATCTGGTGCAGACAGACAAGAGAGAAGGTTTCCATGTGCAACCACAGCCAACATGCTCTGCCATCTGCTGTGGAGGCTCCCAGGACACCCGTTCCAAATCAGGAACCCCAAGGCATTAAAAGGGCACAAGGGCTGGGCTAAGGAAGAAAGATGTGGCACTTGGATACCTTTTCATTTCCACATCATCTAACTTCTCACTAACTTGTTTCTGTGGCACAGACTTCCAGCTAGCATAACCCAAGGAGCGGGGCACCAAGGCCAGCTACAACCTACATGCCCATGCTGGTCCAGCGTGTTGTTGGTGAGCTTCAGCTTCTGGAAGGAGACAGGTTCTTTCATCCAGTGGCTGCCAGGAGCTGGGGAATCCGGGTGGACGTAGGTGCGACAAGGGAGCTGAGGCTCTGCTTTTCCAGCCACTTCCCATTGATCTTTATTCCACTGTGGAGGAAAAAAGGGAAATCTAGAGCTTGAAAGCCCTACCCTCACCACAGGGAATCCCCAGCAGCTTTGTTTCTGATTTCATGGACTTCCCTGAGGCAGACAATCCTGACAGGTAGCAGATTCCCTCTTATGAGTCATGATCATGTTATTGAAACATGTCTGAGTCTAGGTCTCATTTTCCCTCTCTCTGTCTGAATGGCTGTCAGACATTAGTAAGTCTGACATTAATCATGATCAAAACCATACTGTTTACAAGGAAAATTGTAAAGCATCTTTCCAGCTGCTACCTGTACAAAAATGGCACGTTCTAGATAACACCAGATAGGCAGAAAATACACCAATTACTTCTGAATTTTGTCCAGAGAGGCAGAAAAACATTTCTGAACTTGGTCTGAAGATAATTTGCTTATCATCCTGGCCAGTGAAGCATTAAGGATTAATTTATTATAAATAAAGGGGATGCACAAGAGTCCCCCATAAGCCTGCAAGAGGGGTTTGATCTGTCTCTTTTTTTTTTTCATGTAGTAGGATGGAAGGACAGCACAAATTTTGTTATTTAAAGTACACACCTTGTACCTGAAGTTGTCCATTGGTACAAAATCTACCAGCATGAGATACTTGGCATAGGGGATTAAGCCGGAGACTTTGATTTTGCATTGTGGAAACATTCGCCTGAAGGAGAAATTAGATACACAGTGTAAGAAATTTTGCAAAAAGCCTTTTTTTGTTTTGTTTAATGATCTAATTAAGCATCAGGTTATGTCTACTCATTATTGTGCAAAGTGCTGGTGGCAGTATTTCAGCAGATCAGCTACTGGACATTTTTACCATCTTATTAAATGCATAAGGTGTTAATTGAGCAGCAGTCACTGATGACCTGATACTGTCACTGCTTTTGTTCTTCTGATTTCTGTAATGCAGCTTTGGGGAACCCAAATAAAACACTGAAAATTTGGACACGGTTCCTAGCTTTCTGCAGCTATCAGGGACCTGGAGTGCAGACGAGAGCGTTTGCCAGTGTGGACAGCACTCGTCTGAAGGCACATCCAGCTTTCTGTTCCCGTACTTCCTACTATCTCCTTTATCTTCTGACATTGCAAACAGCCTTTGACACCTACCTCCCTATTTAGAGGGAATTATTTCATCTCACAGCTGTCTTGACATAATATATTAAAATTTCATACTCTTTCATTACAAGCTCCATAATATGTTACTAAGAATTAACTTTCAGAGTAGCCCGTGTGCACAGATCCTTACTCTTCTAAGTCACATTTTTGTCTGCAAGCACAGAATCAAAGTCAGACATTTAGTGCTCATCTGCTTCTGCCAGTGACTGTCTGAGGCAAAGGAAGTCTGGGATACTTTCTAGAACAACCCCAAAGCAATAGGAAAAACAACAGTGTAAGCGCTGAGATCAGAGTAGAGAAGCTCTTCCAACATATTAGCCCCTCAGTGACCTTTCACACTTCACAATTTGGACTTCTAAGACATCCTGAAAGAGCAATTCTTAATAATTGCCTAAAAAAAAAAAACAGCTTAAGAGCCAGCATTCAAAAACAAGCACTTGGGGAGAGTGAGAGCAGCTTGAAGGGGTCAGTGCAGAGGGCTATTAGGCTCCCCTCACCTGCCGGATTTGGTGATGATCATCTCCGTTCCTATCTGGTGAAACTTCATCCAGAGCCCCATGTCCTCCAGGGTGACCACGATGGAGCTCTGCGCGTAGGGCTCCAGGCTGGGGGAAGGGAGAGCGTCACACGGCGCTTTCAGGTCTGCCAGGAGAGAAAGGGCAGCTTAGGAGGGACACGCGGGGAGCCGGGCCGGGGCGACTGCGCAGGCCGGAGCGCCAGCCGGGCCGGCGCCGGCAGGCAGGAGCTACCTCATTTCACAGGCTGTTGTCAGAGAGCGGCTTCGGAGAGCTGCCCGCCCGCTCCTCCTCCCGGCTGCTCGCGGGGATTCGCAGCCCCAAGTCACTGCAGAGCCCTCAGGAGCGGTTTAACTCAGGTACCTGAACGCTGTGATTTTATTAATGAAGGTTCCAGGTGCTGCCGGGCACTGGGGAGGCGATGCCACGAGAAACCTCTCAAAGCAAACGGATCATTTGCCTGCAAAGGTTTTCTTAGGAGGCTCAGTAGGCAGAAAGGCTTTTCCAACAGATTTGTTTTTAGCTGGTAAGTTCTTTTGCAAAGATTTACCTGCTGTACAAACCCCGCACAACCAGCTCGGGCTGGTAGCCACCATCCCCTTGTATTCTTGTTCCGATGGGACTAGGGTTATCCAAACCCCTTTACCACAAGCATGAAAGGAAAGCGAAAAGGCCTGGGCTGAATTTAAGCAGTGGGGGAGAAAACAGAAACTAGATGGTAGCGGAGATGAAAAAACACTCCATAGGACCACAAAGGGACAGAGAGAAGACCCAAACATAAGTGGAGACCAGGAAGGGAGGCAGCGGAGCCTCCCATGGACTATTCCCTTGAGCAGCAGCGCTGTCCTCGGCTTAGTGGAGGAAGCTGCTTTTGCCAGGTGATGTCTTAGTTGCTGCTTGCTTAAAAGACAAGATTTTTTCTACCCCTTAGATCTTATTCAGGGCAGATGAGAAATGACGGGACTCATCCTCTTGCTGCAGCTTCCCTGAGTATTTTTCAATAAACCTACAAGAAATGTAACTAGCTATTTTCAAAAACAGCAGTTTCCTTTCAGAAAGCTGCATCTTCCCACAAAACCAACCCAGTGTGAGCCTAAAGGGGTTATTTCCACAGTAACAGAAACTTAAAAAAATAATTAAACATAATTCGGCTGTTTTTTTAAAGGTCTTTAGGCATTTTGGGAAAAAAGACACTCTGCCCTTTTTTCTGCTTTGATCCAACATTAATGAACTGGCTAAGAAGTGACACCTAGTCTGCTCGCCAAGATTAGCCTGTTAACATCTTCCTACTAAAGCTTCCCTCATATCCTCTCGCAGAGACATGAAAGCTGCCACAAGACGACACATTCGGTAGCTCCGCGCGGCACATGTATCAGGAGGAGTTACAATAAAATCAGGCTGATTTCCCACCAGAGCCATCCAGCTACAACGCGCACCAACGGAGCCCCATTAGCCGGGCAGATGCTCCCTCCTTCCCTCAAATCTGCTTTGCAATTAACATTTTTGCAAGCCAATTCCAGGGCCGCTAAACCAGACGGCAACAGAGCCGAGCGCGGGACTCCTTATGGAGGGAAAGTGCCAGTGAAGTCGAAGGAATTAAAGGGCAGGGAGTTCTGTGGATGATTAAAAATCAAGGGCTGATGGCCAGGGCGAGGGCACGGGCGCCCACGGCCGCGCGGCAGCATCCGCCGGCAGGACGTCCCGCGGGATCGGCCAGGACCAGGCGCGCGGGTCCCCGTGAAGACGCTGGCAGTCGGACCGCGCCGTGGAGAGGGGGACACCCGAGCACCGAACCCATCCGTTAACCCCGCGCTTCCACTGCCTCCCCTCCCACGCTACCTTACATCTCATCTGCAGTACTGTTTTCCAGAGAATTAAGCATTTCTCAAGAATTTTTAGCTCTAACGTATTTCAAAATTCATTATCAGCATCATTGTGTTTGTAATACTGCATGGGGCCTATTTTAAAACATACTCTTTATGTGAAGAGGAGGTCGAAGAGAAAGAAGCTGTGGTGAGAAAGGCAGAATGCAAAATCAAGAGCTCTATGTCTATCCCACACTCGATTTAAAAGTCTCAGTACAAATAATAGAAAAGGAAAGGACAGAAAAAGAAACAGGAGTTATTCAGTGATAATATAAAAACAAGAGGAAAATAAAAAGGATTCAGATAGGAGATGCTAAAAAATAATCTACTTATTTGACGGCAATCCCTGGTTTAATTGTCAGATGCCGGGACAGAGTCATAACGTCCTGCAAAGTGTAGGATGCGGTTTGCAACACTGGGAAAGCACCACAAACACAACAGGTCCCTCGTCTTTACCAGCATCTGCGACTTCTACATTTGTCTCAGCGAGAGAATCTAACACTAACGGCTCTCCAGTGTGCACAAGAAATCCATGCTGATATATAAAGCTATCCAAGAAATTAATCTTGCGAATAACCGAAATTCTCAGTGTTCTCCAACCTTACAAAGGACCCTGCGGAGATGCCCCAGGTGTCCCAGCTCCGGGGCTTTGGGAAATAGCACAAGGCTTTTCCAGAAGCGCGGGGGCTTCGCCTCCCAGGCGCGCGCAATATTTCTGCTCTGTACGGTCACAACCAAGTGAGAAAACGCAATGAGAAAGTTTGATCAGTTCTTAAATAGCTGAAATCTTTGATCAGGTAAAATAGCATCATTTAGTCTGCAACTTTCATGGTTCTTCTGTTTTTAGAGTCAAAATTCTCTCAGTGGGGCAGAAATCGTCATGAATCAAGCTCAGCATAGGGTGGATGCTTTAAAGCAACAAAAGCATTGGTGAAGGTGGAAATTATTAGAGTGTTGTACAGCTATTTTACTTCTTAGGAACCAAATAATACATTGCAGGGGTGAAGAAAGGCAGCTGTGAGTACCCAGGCATTTCTAACATGTAAATGAACCACATATCTAAAGGAGGTAAATGGCTGTTTCCTTTGGGTGCAGAGAAAAACCCAGGCCTAAATCTGGGATTGGGTTCCCCTGACATCCGCAGTCAGACAAAACTGCAGGGTTTGTAGCAGAGTTACTCTGAGCATTATACAAATAATAACAGACCTTCTGCAGCCTTCGGCCCAAAGGAACTTCTGGTGCTGTGCAGCCAATATACAAACAGCATCTGTATCCCTCAGCGAGGGATCGCGGCGTGCACGGTGATGCGGAGAAGGGAATTTGGGGCAGAACTGCTAGCAAACCTCTGCTACTCCTGCAGAAGACCTAAGGTTCCCGAAGAACGTTCAAAACCACAATTTGTCACCTGTTCTCACAAAAACATTTGGAAATCCCCTCCCGTCACACGCACACCGCTACAGATGCTGGTATCCCGCAGGGAGCACTTACGATCTAAAAGTGATGCCCGTGCTGGGCATAACCCTGGACCTTCCCACGCACTGAGGAGAGCAGGGTCACCCACCTGGCAACGCTTGCATTTTTCCATGTACTGTGAAGTCCAGGAAGCTGCACAGCCACAAGAGCCACCAGAATCCTTACGAGGGGAGCCAAAATAGTCCAATTCCAAAGCAGGTCCGAGTTGCCGACGTGAGCAAAAGCCTTTCCTCCAGGGATCCAGTGTCAAGAGTGCCTGGGATGAGGATGGGACTCCAAGCACAGCTAGCCAAGGTGAGGTCCTGTTTTATGGAGGCTAATGAGCAGGGAGGAGCCTCTCTCCAGGGCTGTCCCCTTGCAATCCTTTGATGTCCACAGGGACAAAGAGAGGAAGGATCTGCAGCAATGGCTGGGGCTAAGGGAAGAAAATCAAAGAGAATTAACATGGCTTTGACATACAGGAAACCCTACAGGGGAAATGCACCTTGATTTACTGCTAACACACTTTTAAACAAATAGAAACAAGACCAAAAGCATCAGCTGAAGACTTACCTACAAAAAAAAAAAAAAAGGAAAAAAGAAAAAAACAACAAGCAGGAAAAGTATCCCTCTGACTAGTCCAAGGATTTGAGATAATTTTCATCTCTAGAACATGGAGGCATTCTGTTGTGATTGTGTGTATCAGAAGCAGAACTCAAGCTTGCTCCTCTCAAAGCGAGCAAATATCCCAAACATCAGTCTGTGGATACCTTTGCTCTGGCAATACATTCATTCACCAACACGTCTTCTCCTCCAAAACAACCTCGTTTAAAGATGTAATGCAACTTACCTACCCAATCTCTCCATCCGCAGCCCCACACTGCGCGGTTCTTTTTTCTATCGTACTGTTTTTCCACGGCATTATCCCTATTGCTGCACCCGAGGCCCAGGAGCTCCTTATCTGCAGCCTGCTCTACATGCAATGATGTCCCTTGTGACCGCTGGCGAGGGAAGGTGGCAATTGCTTTGGTGACACAGCCGTGCCCGCATGCAGCTCTCTTGGCACTGTCCCGTGCAAGTGACCTAAGAGTCTAATGCATGGACCGGGCATGGGTTTTACTTGGTCCTTGTTCAAGGCACAACTCTCACTGAATGAAAGTCTGAGTAGAAACTGAAGGACTTCAGCGTTTTGCCCTTAATTAGTTTATTCTGCAAGTGTGACCATTAGCTTTTGTGCTTACCAGTGCTTGCAAGTGCTAAGAGAGAGCAATCAAGCCTCATGCTGCAGGGCACAAACCAGCCCCTGCCTTGCTGAGGCAGGGAGTCCTGCGTGCTGCTGTACAGGAATCACCATCCTTTGCAGGTGAAAGATGGGGTTTCCGAGTGCTCAAGGTCACAAGCAGGATATCAGCCCCAAAGGGCCACTGCTGGATCCTGCACAGCAAATATAGGGGCTCTTCTCCCCACTTCATTTCAAAGAGCATCGCGGCAAGGCTCTAGCTGATTCATTGCCTGGTCTTGCTCTCAGTAAACAACTTTTGTCACTGACATTAATGGGACACCTGAATTTTAGTTTAATGTGCAAAAAAATATTCTGAATCTACTGACAGTCAGTTCTACAGTTGAATGTCATCCATTTAATTCTGCTGTTATTGCCTTCTGGAGCAGCAGTCCAAGGATATGCAAACAAGATGAAGGGATTTAATCAGAAGAGAGGGACGTTGCATCCCAGGGGGTGGGAGTGAGAAAAGACAGTGCTTGGTGTGGCAAGGAGAACATTTGGAAACGGGGAACTGGAGAATTTGGGAAAGTCTTGAGGATGATTTTTATAGCAGGAGCTCATCCACTTGCTGCTGGACCCTTGAAAGACCACATTCGATCTGCCTGACCATTTCACCACTTTAAAGAGAACACATTTAAACGCTTTTAAAGAGAAGATCACAGGCTGTTCTCTGTCAGATAACTCGGGCCACATCCAGAATTGGGGACCTCGGTACCTTCGAGGAAGCAGCTATCATGGTGGAGCAACAGCAAGTTATAGCTCAGCTGGGGATATTTTTTATTACATATGTGAAAAGATGAACTGGAATGCAAAAGATTGCATTGTAAAAAGTACCAAGATCAAACCTCTTATGCTTGTACTTGCACAGCCACTACCAGATGCAAAGGGAATAAAATGTAGACTTTTTTCTTTTTTTTTTTTCTTTTTTTGTTGTTCTGCTCTGCTATGAAAGGAAAGCCAGCACCAAATCTGCTCACCAAGCTCTGCTTTTCTAATGAGAGTATTTTAATTGTAGAAAGCTGAAAAGATGTCTGTAATCAGAGTCTGAAAAGGGAAAATAGAACAAAAATTGGGTCAGACTCAAGCTAGCAGTGAGATGGATTAACATCCCACATAGTCGGAAACTGCACAACAACAGCAGCAGCCCTGGGAATTTCAGACTTCATCTGACAGAGTGTGGGACATGTATCATGACTTATTGCTTCTTCCAAGAAAGGGTATCAGATGGTCTCCTGCTGCCACTTCATTTGCACACTGGGTATCAGCATGTCTAGAGAACACACATTTGCCGTGAGCACTCAAATCCTTTTGGCTTCTCCCAGCTGATTGATGGGGAAGGTGGAGTCATTAATTACCCACAGCTACTTAACAACCAGCTTTCCCCCAGCCTTCCCACTTGCACTGAGGAGGTTTTCAAAGCGCAAAGCACATTTGTGACTGTCTGGGAAGCGTAGCGAACGCGAGCAATGCCCATGAAATAACCACTGCAAAGGGGGGTCTCGCACGGCCCTCTGGCCTGCCCCAGGCACCGGGCCGGGAAGCTGGGCCTGAAGGAGCCGGTGTCTAACAATTCACTGGCAAATTGGAGACCAGGGGAGAAAAGAGATGGGACGGCGGGTGAATATGATGAGCAGGAGTCAGGACACGGTGCTGTTGCGAGCTCAGTTATGGCAGAGGGAGAAGTGTCACCGTGCCCAGCTCTAAGAGCCGCTCTGCCTGTGGGCCCTGGGTAGGGCAGCACCGAGGGGGCTGCACCGACAAAAGCAGAGGCGGGGTCCCTTTGCTTTGCATCTCTTTGGGGAGTTGATTAGGAAAAAAACATTCCCCTTTGGGTTTGTCCTAAAGCAAATGTTTTCTGGCACCCTTCACTGCAGGTGAAACTTTAACCCTTAACATTTCACCTTCAGGATCCGAGTCTACAAACAGCCAAACAGGACTCACTTGCCCAGGCGTCCCCCTTGCAGGACTCCAGCTACAGAGATTCTGAAACACAACAGAAATGCAGATTAATAATAGCGACCTTTGGGAAAGAACCAGTCTTGGATCAGCTGCTAATCTGTATCCCCGCTCTGCCACGGTGCCAGCAGCAGCAGAGGCACCGTGGGCTTCCCCCGGGGCACGGGGCTGGGAGAAACCTTATCACAGCAGTTTAAATAAAACTGGGCTACTAAAACTGGTCTTAACTAAGGCACTCTTGTCTGCCCGAGTTTGCACAAAGCCAGAAAACATAAGCTGGAGAAATGCAAACTGCACTTTAAAGAAGAATTTCTCCCCGGAACCTGCAGAGCGCCTCACAGCCGCCGAGCTGTGACTTACTTGGCACATTCCCACCTGCTGCCCGTAGACCACAGGCTCCGAGTGTTCTCTGTGCTCCCCAGTGTGAAAACCTCCAGCCTCGCCATTCCATTCACGTCCTGGCAACTCCTCAGTAAGGCTGCGTGGCCATCTGCACTGGCTGAATCCTGAAAATGTGGGAAGACAGCATGTCATTTGGGGCTCAGAATAAAACAGAGGCTGTCCTAGACAGAGCTACATATTTTCTCATTTTTTAAAAACACAAAACAGCTCAGACCCTCCAGGATGCTTCCAAATCTATGGACCAGCCCCTTAAATAGCACCCAGCTTGCTGCAGAGCGATGGGGTCAGGCTGTGCATGGCAGGTCCCTCGGGAAGAGCTGTGTATTTGCAGATAAAACCCAGTGAAACTATCACTCCCAAAGCCTTGCCAGCCCAGAGGCACGCGCCTCTGCAGCCCTCTCAGGATCCAGTATCTAATGGAGAAGGAAAGGGAATAGGAAGCAGCTCCTTATACAGCCCCTAAGCTGACTGAGCTGCACTAGGTTTGCAGATGGAGGGGTTGAGCCCCCACAGCACAGGCACCACTTGGATTTGGGAGAGCGGCACAGGCAAACTCTGGGTCTATTGCCACAAAAGAGCAAGAGGAAGAGATCCCCAAGGAGGTTCCTGGATTACTAAAGGCTCGCTGAGCATTTTGAGACCCTCTGATATAGTCCTACATATATTTTCCTATCATGTGGCAGCATAAGGATTTATTTCCCATCCTTTAGTGTAGTTCCTGCAGCACAGCGTTTCTTCTGATGGTGGGAAATGGCATTTTTTCCTTTTTTATGGCCAAGTTTTGATTGCATTTTCCTGGGAAAAGATGTCTGGTGTGTCCAGGCGTGTTCAGTGGGGTTGCCCATGTGAGAGACCCTGCACACAGCAGACCTCGCTGGGCCCACGAGCCCCATGCTGAGCCCCAGATCCTCCCGGGGCTCTGCGAAAGCAAAATCACATTTGGTAAAACAAAACAGTTGGTTGGAGAGGGCCTGTTGGTAACAGCTCGATGCTAATTCACGACGGGGTCCCCGGACCGAGGCGCAGTGCGCAGCAGAGCTTGGCCGCACGCCCGGGCCCCCCGCGACGCTGCGTTTCAGCAGTGACAGGGGACTCTTTTTGGAAGAAAACGTGTGAAAGTGGCTCATGCAAATCAGAATTAGGACATTATAAGTTGCACATTGGCTCTTCCCCTCCCAGGCTTGTGGATTGAGGTCTCTGGTCACAGAGCTGTGCTCCTGCCTTAGAGGAAAGGAGATGCTCTCCTGTCTCTCCCTTTATCATATCCGCTCTCCACGGCCCTCCCGGAATATGCGCCCCCACATCCAGCAGCTAGTTAGCATCGAGACCCAAAGGGAAATACTTAACGGCCACTTAGCACTGCAGGCAGAGTTTGGCCTCAAAGGCTGCAGTCCAGAGTCAAATGCAAAGTATCGGTGTCTAGGACCCTTTAAAGTTTTCGCAGACTCCTGATGTTGGGTGCTGCTTTCCTGCCAGCGCATTGTGTTCCCCAGACGCTGCTCAGCACTCCGGCCTGTTCAAATCCACAAACATAAAAACAAGAAAAAAGAAAAGAAAAACAACATTCTGAAAGGACTTCACAGCTCAGAGGTAGCAGAAGCAGCTTTGCAAGGCAGCCAGGGCAGCTGCCTTCTGCCGTGGAGGGTTCGGCACTGCCGGACCTGCCAGGGCCCCGCGGAGCCGCGAAGGGTCCGAGCTGGGAGACGGACACAAGAGCTCTGGGTTAGGAGCTGTACATGTGTTTGTGTATCCACAGACAGACGGACAGACATCCACGCACAGAAAAGCATGCAGAGCTTAAAAACAACATTGTTGGAGGTTCAGCTCAACCCCGAATTGAGATTAGAATAAAAATCCCAGGGAGAATGGATTTTGCTGAACGAAAGCCCAGCTGACAAAGCCTCAGCAATCTCTGATAAAAAG